AAATCGCCTGCACAACATTTTGGGGGAAAAATAATAATAAGAAGAAACAGTAGAATTACTAAGACGAAAAGACCTTAATAATTTTAAAAAATGATACAACCAAAAATTTGAAGAAAAAAACATGCACCAATCCAACAACAACCCCTTCCCCCAACCCCCAAAAAGGAACAAAAGAACAACAAACAAGAATTTTTTTAAAAAGCAGGAAGAAAGCTATAGGGTATATCCTATTGTCATTGTTTTAAACCTTTTTCACAACTAGGAAATACTCCTAGTATACATAACGGAATTCTTTTAACAGAGCCCTGTATCTTTCATAAGTGGAATAATGAAAGTCTCTGGTAGAGGGAGGATGCATTCGTGTGGACCTACAATACTAAATCGCAATACGGATTACATCTTATATGGCAAGTTCAATTTTAGTACTTGAAAACATACGATGTATATTTAATAGTAAATCATGAAAAAGCTGATTCTTAACAGTTGTTTAATTTCTCATCTCTTTCTTTTTCAGTGCAATGACGAAATTATGACACGGCATATTTTTGATCAATATATATTCTAAACACGTATTTTTTCAGAATAAAGCCTATGTAATTCAATTTTATTATTCAATATAGTTTCCATTGTCGATAAATCAACCAACAAACTAAAAATAATTCAGCAACAGGAATTCACCACAGTTATTTTTTACAAGATAACGGATGACTACGACTGCACTTGCGAGGTTAGAAAGAAGCTTTTGATACATATATACAGCTTGATTTATACTTGTGCAATATTTTTTTCTAGAAATAGTTTGTTTGTTGTTTTTTTTTCATTACACAGTCACCATGACAGATAAAACTGAGAAGATGGTGAACGAACCATGTTTAATTTTCTGCCAAATCATCTCTACTTCAAACTCTAAACAATTAAGGCATTGTATATACGAGTGTTGTCCCAGAAAAACGCGAACTTTTTAAATGTTTCATAAATTACCTGACCAAAATTTTCATTTTTGGCACAATTTTGGGAAATGATATTTTCGTCATTTTCACCAAATACTATAAGGTTGGAATGTCATGTGCATTTAGAAACAGCATTTAAAGGGTGTTAAATATCGGTTGTCGGCTAGACGTTTTTGTTTTCATTTGTTTGTTTTTTATGATTTGCTATTCTATGTTCCTGAAGAAGAGTCAGGGAGTCCCGAAAATTTTTATTGTTCTTGTCGTTTTAGTGCTTTATTTATATAATACAGGATTTCTGCATCCCTGATATGAACACAGGTACGCGCCCTGTATTAAACACCATGTAACAGCACCCTTGCACCCTTTATTTCAACCATTATCACAACCTTTATTTCACCTTTTTATTTTTTATTCGGAGTACCTTTACTCCCTTTCTTTTGTTAAAAATCTTTATCTAAATTTATTTTTAATAGATATTTTATGTCATTCAAAAAATATAATTATTTTGTTTAATTTAAAATTATTTTTATTCTTATCGCTGAATGTTTTGTCTTCGAAAAATGATGACAAAAATTCAACAAAAATAGATGAACACATTCAATTATTAATAATGCATTTACATGTACATGTACATACATATGAATTGTGGACACTATTTTCAAAAGTATAATAAAAACAACAATACATGTCAGAATTTGTATCACACCCCAAATCAACCTTATTTATATATATATATATATATATATATATATATATATATATATATATATATATATATATATATATATATATATATATATATATATATATATATATATATATATATATATATATATATATATATATATATATATATATGATTAATTTCAGATCTAGATCAATCTTCCACAACAACAGCCAATCCCTAACAGTAGCATTTCTGCCAGAGACAAATGTGTGATCACTTGGAAAGGACATGAAAAATGGGAGTGTCAAAGCAGGAATGGATACTGTAGAAGAAATCGGCAATATCAATGTAAACCTCTTCTCTTTTGCTGACTGTTGTATTAGCCTAGAAGTTAAATCTTGATCATGGCATGTGATGTTTGTGTTTCTTGTTATTTAACCACTTTAATGATCTTAATTTACCAACAGTCCAACAGGTTTAAAATAAATTTTTACGAGGGGTTATCAAAAAGTTCGTGGACTAGCATCATAAAATTAAAACCGCTTGAGATATATCAATGAATTTTTAAATATAAGCATCTTCTTTTCTGTCTGAAACATGAAATACAAATTATAAGTTTTATTTTTTAGTGAATCGTAAATGTTTTTATAAGCAATGGTATGTCCTTGCGGCGCAACCTCGAACGTGACGTATTTTCTACCTGCGTGTAACTGAGAAAAACTCTTCTAATATGAGCATTTGTCATCCGAAAATCCTATTAATTCACTCATGTAATATGACACGATTTTTCCGTAAATGTTGCAATTTTTACCTCATTCTGTATATTCTATGACATTTTATCGTAATTTTTATATCGAATGTCCAAATAATAAAGGGGTTAAAAATGACGTCGAAAGGGGGTAGGGTGTCATTTGAAAACATTCTATAAAGTTTCAGCCCTTGGGTAACTGGAATAGACCTAGAAAATGTTTAAGCAGGCTATAGAGAAATAAAATACACCCAGAGTACTTGTTTTTAAATACCAAAACTAATTCCGCAAGAAAAGCGACACAGGGTTAATGTCGATTTGTAGCCAAGGTGTCCAAAGTCAGTGACGTTGAAAAGTGACGTTGATCATTGGTTCACATTGAACTCCGACAAGAAAATTATACTGGCAAAATCAAGCGAGGATCTCTACCTATGTATATATTAAATATTTACAATATTAATGCACTGAAATCAGGTGTTCATGACATTGTAAAGTCATATAAACAAGACGGTTTTAAATCTTTACTTTACTCCTGAGAATCTCATCAAGATAAGTGTATTGAGGCAGAGAGAGCGGGCATTGAGAAATAATGACGTTGTCGGACGTCATGAAACTAAACGGCGACAGCGCCGGTGTAAAGACGAATAATGACCCCCATAGAATAATGACCAGGGGGTCATATTTCAACGACAAAAAATGACCCCCCAGCCGTAGAAAAAATTCATTTTTCGTAGAAAAAGAGACCTAGGGGTCATTATTTTATGTGTGCGTCCTATAAAAAACTGACCCCCGTTGAAAAATGACCCCCTTTCCAACAGAGTGCATGATACAAAATTTATAACGGGTGCCAAGGTTTGAACCCCAATGTTTGATATTCTTCTTTATGCCCTTTTTGACCAACACTGGACGAACGCCCAATTAAAATGCAATAAAACCGCATTACATTTACCTGCATACTTCTATCTTTTAAGCCTATTGTGTTCTCAGCACATATTGAAAATCGCAAAGTGGCTGCTATTAGTTATAACTATTAACGTAATTTCCCTTTATGACTGTCTTCCATATGTTTCATATTTGGATATTTGACTGATTATAGACATTCATAGCTATATAACAGACAAGCGGGATGTTCTGGCTTTTCATTGGTAAACATGTCTCCCAAAGTAATCAGCATGCTTTGAGTAGGATCAACTTTTTTTTTTTAAAAAAAATGAAGGGAAAAAAAAAGAATGAGATAAGTTTTCAGACATTAATACGGAATATTATGCAACGTAATATATATGTATATTTTGAATGACACAAAAAGTCGTGCAAATGAGGTAGAGTGTATCGAAAATGACGTAATAACTCGTGCGAACGACATACTGTGGATATATATATATATATATATATATATATATATATATATATATATATATATATATATATATATATATATATATAAAGCACTAAAAATGACCAACTACACGAACAATAATAATTGTCAAATTTTCGGGACGACCTGTTAAGAAGTCATAAAAACAAAGGAAATAGAGAAGCAAAAACAACTAGCACTACTACTAAACTACCAAACACTAAATATTTTCAATGTTACGAGTCATGTTTAATTTGGAGTTTATACACAGTAAACAAAGAAGTCCGGAGCGCTATGATTTGCGTCCGGTCTATCGGGTGTACTCTTGTGAAATGTGATTTACATAATTGAACGAATTAATTATCGCTAATTAATTACGACCAACAGTAAATTGTACATTGTCTTATTCTCTCAAAATAGCGTAACTCTACATGATAAAAAGAAATTAAAGAAAGATAATATGGAAGGACAATTTTGAAATATGAATTTGGATATATTATAAATTTGGAAATCGGAAAAAAGAAATAAACAAAAATGTAAGCTGTAAATATTTGGGTAGGTTGTTCCAGGATTGCTAATACGAATTAACGGTAAAGTTTACACTATATAGAGAGAATGAACTTGTTTGTTACAATCCGGGATTGGGTCTAGTTCACGTTCATCCCGGTGAGGTCATTAAGTTTGTTAATACCATTAGGGCGGAATGACTTCAGCCTGTGCATCCAGAACTTTTCCTTGCCTTTTCTCTGCGCGTCTGTCCATCTTGGATTATGGTCAATAACCACTACTATCATGTCCTCCCATCTGTGACCTTCAAGGTTGAAATGTTCCCCAACGGGTTCATTGAGTTTTTTGGTCCTAATGGTAGAACGGTGATTATTGACTCTCCTGCGGAGATCTGTTTCACCAAAATACTGTTTGGAGCAAACTTTGCAAATGATGAGATAAATGCAGTTGTCTGTTTGACAGGACAAATTCCCTAGTATTTTGTAGCTGCGGCCTGTAACGGGGCTGTTAAAACTGTCTGTGTCAGAGCTGTACTTACAGAGAAGACATCTTCTGTCAGAGCAAGTTTTAGAGCCCCCGTTAGGTAATGGATTGTCCAATCTGGTTCTTACTACCATGTCCTTTAGGTTCCTCGGGCGTCTGTATGCAGCCAATGGGGGCTCCTTAAAGACCTCTGCCATTCATTTATTTGAGTGGAGAATTGGCAGATTCTTTTGAAGGATACCGCTGAGGTTCTTCAGGACGGGATGGTGTACAAAGATGTGACGTCCATAGTCACGAGAAGGGTACGATCTGGAAGGCCAGTAGAGGACGTCTTGTTAATGTATTCCGTGGTGTCCTAGAGATAGGATGGCAAATTCTCTACGTGTGGACGGAGATGTAAATCGATGTATTCAGAAATTTTCTCCGTGGGGTGTCCAATAACGCTAACTATAGGGCGACCTGGCATACCTTCTTTGTGTATCTTAAGAAGCAGATAAAATTGTCCTGGTCTACAGTCAATAGGATTGAGTGTCTCATAGACGTTGATACCAATCTCGTTTTTCTCAAACATTTCAAGAGTTTTGGTGATGGCGGTGGAGAATTCTTTAGTAGGGTCAGAGTCCAGTTTCTTATAGAAACGTTCGTCTGAGAGTTGTCTATGGGCCTCCGCCATGTACGTCTCTTTATCAAGTACTACTACTGTAGAGCCTTTGTCTGCTTTCTTGATTACAATGTCATCCCGATTCTTTAATGATTGTAAGGCGGATCTCTCTTCCTTACTCAAATTGTCGGGAGCCTTGTCTGGCATTGAAAGGAGTTTCTCTATGTCTGACTCAACGGCGTCAATATACGACTCAAGGGCTCCGCATTTGCCCGGTGCAGGTTCCCAGTCACTTTTTGGCCGATAGAGTTTGTGTTCCTCTAGTTCGTGCAATTGTGGCTGAGAAGAGTCATATGAGTCAACTTCGGAGTTTTTTCTAGAAAAGTGCTCCTTCAACCGAAGTCTCCGAAAGAAAGCTCGGGTGTCCTCTCTGACTTGTTTTTCGTCGACCTCATGTGGCGTGGGACAGAAATTCAGCCCCTTGGAAAGAAGTGAGGTCTCCGATTCGGAGAGAGGAACACTAGATCTATTGAGCACTGGGCAGACGTCAGGAGTTTGTGAGGGTCCGTCCCTCGCGATTGTCGTTAAGCGCTTGAAGCGCCTCGAGCGGGGTTTACGTGTTTTGTTAACTCGGACCTCTAGATTTGATCGGTTGTTCCTGGTCTGTGGAACACTGTCTCGGAGAAATTTCTTTCTTTGAGTCTTGTTGAGTTCATTTGTTAGGGCCATATTATAGGTGTCAATAATATAATGGGCTTCATCAAGATCAGCTTGGGACATGCTATCAGTGAAGGATGATTCTAAGGACGTGATATCACTCTCAAATTGTCCTAACTTGTGGATATCCCAAGAAAGACAGAGTGACATCAATTGTTTAGAACACCTCTTTGTAATATCTTCCCAACGTTCTTGAAAGCGTTTGGAGATTGGCCCTATGTTAGGCGTGACATTAATCTGGAAACCTTTAGGTATAATGTCACACTCTAAGTAGGTCTGTAAATTCGAGACCCGGTGTTCAGTTTTGGTTGATTTTTGGTGTTGTTTCTTCATAAGTTTGATTGTTGGATTACTTTTTATAGACATGTTTAAAAGGAAATAAACAGGTAATTGCCTAAAGAATATGACTAATTTTTAAACTATAGCCGTGTGAAGTCGAAGATTCAACGAACGATTGCACTATTTTCTTACGTAGGAGATAACTCGTACAAGAATTCAAAAAATAAAAACAAATGCTACATGAATAAAATTTTGAAGAGAAGAGTGGAAAGAACTAAATTGCAAGAGTGGAATACAAATAAATAGCCAGAAAATCAAACGATGATAGAAATGAACAAAAATGAATGATAGGTACAGAGAATTAGAATAGAGAAATAATGGATATACGGGTGGATCTGAGAAGATACAGTTGACGAAAAAAAGATATAAAAAGCACTAGAAACCAACAACACTGTATATCCCAAGTGTCGGATCTACTAAGTAGATACAAGGTCACGGATGGAAATTTATATAAAGCACTAAAAATGACCAACGACACGAACAATAATAATTGTCAAATTTTCGGGACGACCTGTCCTTTCCTCAGGACAAAGAAAAAAGTTAAGAAGTCATAAAAACAAAGGAAAGAGAGAAGCAAAAACAACTAGCACTACTACTAAACTACCAAACACTAAATATTTACAATGTTACATGTTTAATTTGGAGTTTATAAACAGTTGAACAAAGAAATCCGGAGCGCTATGAATTGCGTCATTTTTAGTGCTTTATATAAATTTCCATCCGTGACCTTGTATCTACTTAGTAGATCCGACACTTAGGATATACAGTGTTGTTGGTTATATATATATATATATATATATATATATATATATATATATATATATATATATATATATATATATATATATATATATATATATATATATATATATATATATATATATATATATCGTAATGAAAAAATAGTGAAGATCACGAACAGTGATGATTTTAAAATATCCACAAGCAGTACAATTTTTTTAACAGGGCATACAAAAGGACCCCCCCCCCCGAAAATTGCAAAGGTGGGATCAGGTGCCTAGAAAGAGTAAGCATCTCCTATTGTGCCGTCACACCCGCCGTGAGCACTATGAATAAATCAGGTAAACGGGACATTCCGTTGTCGAATTAAGTATAAAAACAAGGGCCAAACAATTGACCCAATGATAGGTTTTATTTATTGACAGGGTCATTGATACGACCATTGAATCTACGAAATGCTGACTTTTAACGAGGTTGTTGAAACCCCTGTAACATCAACTTACACGTATCTGTCATTAGCCTTCCTCGATTTAAAAATTAATCGTGCTCTTGGGTATTGAATGAGTTGGTAAACGTAAACATTATGTGCAAATGATTGCAGAATATTACTTCATAAATAAGGAAAATTGACAATAGAAAAGGCTGAAGTCATCCCGTTTGTCTGACAATTTAGTTGTTACTTGGTTTTTATCGTCTATAGTCAGAAGAACGTCCAAATATGAAGCAGACGAGGCAAACATAAGAAGGACATAAAATTTCTGCATGTCTGAAATATATACAATCTTATAATGTGCATTCAATTTTATTTATAAACAGTGGTCTACTCTATGGGAATTTCTCTTCAAGTATATAGAAGTAATGTACATTCAAGTCTGTTAACATGGTTGTCTGAGAATAGGATACATACCTGTAAGAGGAATATTTTTAATCCACTTTAAAACAGTGATACATTTGTCAAATCAATATGGAAACATTATCAATACAGTGTATATTGAAGTAGATTAATGTTTTCAATTTATAATTAAAGACAGACTATTTTATTGACCTTCAAGGTGAATACATGTATAAGAATTTATTTTTCCTACATTGACCCAAAAATAGATTGAAAACAATTCTGAAAAGTTATTTCACCTGCATCTGAATTCTACTAGAGTGAACATAATATTCAAGTAAAGGAATCGGAGAAGAGGGAGGTATTGTTTCTAATTTGAAAAATTTCATTGAAAGTCTTGTAACCACCCCCTTTCTTATACAGTATAGTTAAAAATTCTCTCCTACTTGAGTGAACAAGATAAACATAACATTCAGGCACATAGAATCAGGGATGGGATGTCCACCCCCTTCTATTTCCATGAAGTTATTTTTCGCTTGAAAATGGTCATTGCAAGTCTGGTTGTCCTGCCCCAGATACAGTATGATACTGTACTATGATACAGTAGAGTAAATGAAAATCCCACTTACATCAATAAACTTTTTGAGGGGTTCATCAAAGATATTTTTAACTAAAATGATTTTTTGCCTCTTAAAATGAGCCATTTCCTCTTTCGATGCTATGCCTGACATTTCTTTTTTCTACATTGCACCAAAACTAGATTTCAAATGCAAAATTAATACTGGTTATGCTTATTTTATCTCCTATTTTTTCACTGTGTTTGGTTAGGACTCGAGCAAATGTAAACAAGAAACGTGACATGTCTGCTTAATTAGTTTGTATCAATTTAATCGTTGTATCATATAATAAAACAATGTTTGCTGTTTTTCCTGTAAGGACGATCAGTGAACTTCCACCATCGAAAAACAATGGTCTCCTCGCCCTTTGAACTCGATAAATCATTAACTCCACTAGATTCTGAGTCATTGAATTGACCTTAAAACAGCAATGATTGTATAATGTTATGAGATCAATATATCATCGATTTATTCCCAATGAAGCTCAAGTGAGCATTTTGGCCAACAGGTCTCTTGATTTATTATTTTTATTTTCCCCCCCTAAAAGTTTCAACTTTAATCTGCTTTAATTCACTAGGGGTCATTATTCTACGGGGGTCATTTTTCTTCACGTGGGGTATGCATGTTTTTAGGGTGATGACACTTTTTCTACGGGCAAAAGGGTCATTTTTCGACGTCGAATAATGACCGGGGGTCATTTTTCGCCGCTGAATAATGACCGGGGGTCATTATTCGACGTCGAAAAATGACCCCCGGTCATTATTCTATGGGGGTCATTATTCGTCTTTACACCGGCTTATCATATGATGCCATTCTTATTTAATGATAATTTGGCAAATTATCAACATATCAAGCTGAAATTTTCAACACTTCTTAAACTTTTGTTGTTTTATGTTCCCTATAAATTTTGTAATCAACGACTATAGTTACTGTATTAATTTTATCGCATCAATCCACGAACTTTTTGATAACCCCTCGTAGCTTTTAAGGGAATACACCCTTTCCTTAAAAAAATGATTGTAGGCTTGTAAATGGAATATATACATTTGTACACAGGATTAAATAAATCATTTGAAATCAAACTTAAACTTTAGTAAATAGACTTAGTAAAGACCACTCGATTTCCTTATCACCACAATGTAGAGAACAAATTAAATTTAAACCGTAAATCGGTCCTCTTCCCGATCGAGTACTTTAATGTCAATTAAGGCAATACGTTTATCATACAAAAGGTGTGATTCACACGAATAAAATTTAATTCAACCACAGGGGCATCTTATCCGCTCTGTTCTCTACTACACATATATAAAAATACACGTGTATTTTTTTTAATTCACCCTTTTATGAGTTTGTACACGCCAGACATCATAACTTTTTCATTTCACATGTTGAATAGTATCATTTATTAAATCAAAAAAAAAATTAAAAGGAGAAATGTCCGGGGATTGAACCCGGACTTCTCGCTTGCTAAGGGAGCAACATACCACAAGACCACGAAGGCACTTGCTTATACAACAGATTAAATTCAAACATTAACTCACATATAATGTTTATATTGACGTTTGATATTGTCAAAATTTTAATCAATACATGGTGTCTAATTAGCCTTTACTAAACAGTTCTAACAGATGTAATAAGAATATAATGTCCGCCGACAACCTATATTATACGTAATAACTCTCCACAAGCCACTGTGCTAAAAATAGTGCCATGCGACTTTCAATACAATACATGCAAATAATAATTAAATTAAAAAAAAGGGGCGGGACACTTTGATAGGGGCGAGAGAGGCCATAGGGAGTTATGGTATAAAATTTCATTGCAAAAGCTCAAAGGCTTCTTGAGATATCGCCCGGAAACAAAAGTGATACACACAGACGGAATGTACAAATTAACGACCTTGAACTCTGACCTTTTGACCTCAAAATCAATAGAGATCTTCCTTAGGCCACAGGGAGTTGTTATGTAAAATTTCATTGCAAAAGATCAAAGGATTCTCGAGATATCGCGAGGAAACGAAAGTGTTAAAACAGACAGAATTTATTACCTTGACCTTTGACCTTTTGACCTCAAAATCAATAGGGTTCTTCTTTAGGCCATAGGGAGTTGCTTTGCAAAATTTCATTGCGAAAGCTCAAAGGGTTCTCGAGATATCGTGCGGAAACGAAAGCGTTACAGACAGATAGAAAATACAGCTAGACGGACGGACGGACATTAATATCCCCCACTTTCAGTGAAAGCGGGGGACAAAAATAGACTGAAAGGAAATTAAAAAAAAAAAAAGAAAAAAAAATAATTTTATATGTATGGAACTACAATTGATTAAGTCCATTTTCATTGGTCAATTACCGGTATGATACCTTAATACGGCGCGGTACTTCCACAACAACCAAGTTTATCGTGCCCGATGTTAATTTATGCTAGGAAAAAATATTTTGATATGGAAATACTTAAAAAAAATTTATGATCAATTAGTTTACTATAATTAATTTTATTTTTCTTTCTCTTTTATTTTACTTTTTTAACCGCATTCGATTTGGATGGAAACACACACACACCTACCCCTCCCCCCCCCCCCAACCCCAACAACAACAAAAAAGAAATGGGGAAAAAGGTGCAAAGGCTTCTAAATAATTAGTATTCTAGCTTTAGTTTAAACTCAGTAAAACTTAAGATCCCTCCCTCAAAACTGCTGACTTTAATTGCCTCGCGCACATCTCCCTGGGGAAAAATCACATATTAACGCTAATTCGGCTTTGAGTTCGCTGTACAACTAGAATGCGTGCCCTTTCTTGGCATGGTTATGTATTAAAATTTCTTTTTGGACGAACATATAC